AACCGAACCGAGACAGTCGAACCGAACGATTCTGACGGTTTTCATAAATCGTCCCATCCCTAATATATATATATATATATATATATGTACAGAGAGAGAGAGAGAGTGAGAGAGAAACAGAGACGATGTGCAACAATGGATATCAAGGATTTTATATCAGTTAATATCACCACTTATGCATTTAAATGAAAGGAACCCACAGAAGCATTCAAATATGAAATGTAACATGCACAGATATAACCGAGAGGAAGATTATTGTGCTAGTCAATACAGAGATCAATTTAACACGAAGCCCATTTAAGGCAACAGCCATTCTCTACTCTAACCACAGCTCTGCCACATTTACATCATCAGGAGCCATTCAGATTCAACATGCATCTAATTACCAGAAAAAAATAGAAAATAAAATATACGCTGCAAAGATGAAGATTATTTATAAACTAAATCCATCCTTCTGTGTTTGTGCAGGAAATCTCAGTATCAGACATCGAGGTCACAAAAACTTTGAACAAAAGCGAATCTAAAATGCAGATTGTCGCTTAACTTGGCTGTAAACATTTTGCTCTCACTGACCAATCAGAGGACAGGAAGTTTTGTCATAGGGGTGGACCTGCTCGCTGGCCCAGTTAGGCAAATCTGAAATCTGACTGGTTGAAGAAAACGTTCTTTCCTAATATTGTTAAGGTCGCATCGGCCAGCGCTGCTGATTCTGAAGGTCCTGGGCAGATTTGATTGACATAGCAACAGACAGAGGCTGAAATCTGATTGGACAGAAAATATAGCAACTACATATATCTAATAGAAGCAGTGCGGCCAAAATAAATGCTACGAAATTCAGAGAATGGGTTGTTCAGAAGAAAACCTTTTTTTTTCCATGTCCATCAGTGGTGTCAAAAGTACACATTTGTTACTTAAGTAGAAGTATCAACTTGACCTCTTTAAATAAAAAGTAAGTGCTCCCAAAACTACTCAAAGTATAAAAGTATAAAGTAACCTTTAAAAAAACAGCCACGTGTCACTATATCAATTGAAAGCTCAATTTTTTGACCATTTCGAAAAAGTCTTAGAGATAGGGCCAAGGATGAGGGAGGTCTTGTTGGTCTCCATCTCCCGATACGCTCTCGCCTGTGTCCGACCTTTCAGACATTTCAACAACTTTCCCTGAATCCCACATTGTAGCATGGCATAGACAATTCACGTTAGCAGTTTGAAGAACACCTGCTTGCTTCGGATGGTTTCCTTTAGCTAACCAATGAGTGTTTGCCTTCTATGACTCATCCAATCACACTAGTTTCCACTAGATGTGGATGGAGCCAATGATCTGCATTGGATGGAGCACATGACGGGAAATAAATCTAAACATTAAACCAGGGGTAAAAATCAGCGGGGTCGGAATAAAGAAAATCATCAACCAGAAAAGGTCCAGAGACATTTTTAATGATCTGTTACTTTAAACAGAAATAAAATGATGTGTTTATGCATTTATGTTATACATTGAATTTTTAAATTAAAAAAAATATTTAAAAAAAGAAGAAATTTTCCATTTTAAAATCGTGTAAAAAGTGTTTTTTTGAAGTAGAGAACAAAAATCTTTTAGTTTGGTATATAGACAATTTCCTGATTCACATATTTCATAAAACACCCGAACTGACCATTTGTTTGTTTTCCTTTCTTTTTTCTGTCTTAATGTTGGCAGTGGGCTTTAGGCTGCCCTGCAAGGCTTTAAACCTGGGTTTGAAATGGAGACTAAGCCATTCTCAAGCACATATCAAGGTGCTCATTTTGAGCCTGGATCCAGATTTATTTTTGATTCATGGTGGAGAATCCTGCTTCACAGCAGCAGGTTGAGCCAAACATCCTCTAAATGTTCAGGTTCCACTCCGGTTCCGCCAGATCAATTTCTGCTATTGCAATCACACCAAACAAGAAAAAGAACATCCAGAAGATCCGGTACTGAAGTGACACCATAGTGACAATTAAACAACTTTTTATTCAATACAATGTGCTTTTTAAAAGGCATGTATCAAAGTAGCTCAGTCAAAACAAAATGCTTGTCA